GAATTCTCTCAACTCCCCTAACCGGGTGAAATCCGGTCACCCTCCGATGACCCCCCGCCGTGCCAACCGCCACCTCTGGCAGCCGGAAAAATAAAACTCCTCCCCCAAATATTCTCCTCAACGCCCTAAAGCTAACCTCGAGCCTCGATTTCCCAACTCGAACCTCAAACGGCATAGAACTAAAGAAAACCGTTTGATTTTCTTACCTTGGTCCGGCAGTGACTCTTTGTTCTCCGACGAGCTTTCACGATACGAGGCCTTCGAATTTGGTTTCTTGGTATTTTGTGGTTGTTGATTGGTGATGTTTTGCTTGCTCCTTGTTGTGTATTGGTTGTATTTCTTTTGTGCTTTGTAGGGGCTTTTATAGTCATACTCGGAATTATTTTTCGGGGTTAATCTTGTTTGCTTCGGAGGTCGTTTACCTTGTTTCTTGATTTATTCGAGATTAGGGGTTTTAATTTCTTCACATTAGTTTGTTGGTCGGGGTTTTAGGGATGATTCAGTCCCTATTCTTGGTCGTTATTATTCTGATTCCCTATTCAAGGGCCGAGAAAATTGACCGGTTTTCGATATGTTTTCAGGCGCGTGGCTCCACGCGCGATCCCTTGCGGCGCCATGTTTAAGGATAAAAACCCTAATTTTCTTTGGGCTGGGTCAGGCCTGTTTATCCTGTGTTGGGCTCCCACCGGGTTTGCTGGGTCAGATTATCCGATTGGGTGTTGACTTGGACCCTTGCTGGACTTTTACTGGACCTAAAAGAAAAAATTAGAATTAAATAAATAAGCAATAATATAAAAATAAAAAATAATATAAATAAAAATAATAAAAATAATATTATTTAAATATATATATATATATTATATTTATTTTCCAAAATGTTTTTAAAACCATATATTATATATTTTCAAAAACTATATATTATATATATGTTTTCAAAACTATAATATATATATATTCAAAAATCATTTTCAAATCTATATAATATATATATTTTCAAAAATAATTTTCAAAACTAATATATATATATATATATTCAAAATATATATTCAAAAATCATTTTCAAAACCATATAATATATATTTTTTCAAAAAATAATTTTTAAAACTATATAATATATATCTTTTCAAAAATCATTTTCAAAACTATATAATATATTTTCAAAAACCGATTTTTTCTAAAAAAGTATATATTATATGTTTTTCAAACCGTTTTCTGAATAAAATCCGGACGAAAATGGATGTCTATAGGATGGAAACGTCGTCGTCAACAAAAGAACAACAATGCTCTAGGTAAAAAAAAACTAATTGGGCAATCATGAACTTCATCGATTCAACCATTTTGCTTGCCATAGAAACAGCAGAAGCTCTTTCTTTCTGTCATAAAAGAAAAATCAATGAAGTAACTGCTAAAGTACAAGCATTCTAAGAAAAGGTAGCACGATAAGCATACGCATATAGCCAAACACAATGAGTTTACAAGGGGAAATTTAAAAGGAATTAAAGTCCCACCAGCCAGAACCAAAGCAAGCAAGCAAGCAGAAACAGAATGGTGACCTCCAATGCAGTATTCTAACATTTCCAAAGCTATTTAGTGAAGACATTACAGCTAAAGAACGGTTAATCACCTCAACGCTATGCTTTCCGAACCATGTTTTTCTTCTTTGTCTTCTCCGGAATAAGAATACTGAAAAAAATAACAATCCCCGCTGTAAAATTTCGACTGACTTTCAGCTGGAAGGAGAACTTTGACCTGGCCAATCACACTCCAAACCTATGAGCCAAGTCAAATGCTATCATCAGTGAACTGACGTAAGCTCAAGGTCAATATTCTGCATAAATTATGCCGATATACCCTTTAATATTAATTAGATTTCAAGTTTAATATACCTGCAAATTTCCTGTGCGATCAATTTGTTCTTGTGGATCTTCTTCCTCAACGGGAGCAGCTTTTAGAAGACCCTTGACATCCAACCCCTGGCGTTGTTAAAGAGCTACAAAAACCATTGATGATATGTTAATAATACATCTTCAAGTGATTACTTGATAGTAAAAATGGTGAAAAAGAAATCTTAAGGACAATTCATACTGCAAGCATGGCAACATTGAGAAGATATTCAATTACTAACCAGCAACTTTGCCGCTATCCTCCTCGGTAACAGTAGCATTGATGGTAGGGGGCCAGCACTCGAACTTGGACCGAAATAAAACAGTCTTGAATCCCTCAATTACACGAATTAAGCGGGATTTCGATCTATTAGAACCTTGTATTAACTCCTATTCAGTTGCATGAGCAATTTAAAATAGGTGAATTGAGAAATTCAAGTAGAACTTTTGTCTAAACCGCATCAGAAACTACTTGCTATTTCCTCGGCTTCTTTACTTGCAGTCTTCCTTTCGTCAAGAGAAGTATTTCTTCCCATCCATACATAGACTTCTAATCCACAGTCCAAAATATAGCATTTATCATTGAATAACAACTCTCTTGTCAAGGAATTAGCCTCAACTGCCTCTGCCTTCTCCTTTGTTGAATAATCAGGTAAAGAAAATAAAAGAACACAAGAATTTTAACGAGGTTCAGTAATGTACTTACGTCCTCGGTGCCCTAGGCAGCACTACAATTTTTATTCAATGTATCATAGGTTTTGGTTACATCTCCTTTTATAATAAATAAACTCTGGTATATATTCACAAAAATAACACTTTACCGTACCGGTATATTTATGAGTCATACCTAACACCCTTCTCAATACTTGACAGTCAAACGTAATCTAATGAGAACGTTTTTCGATTTACAAACAATATAGTTCCAAACACACATAGACATAGTATTTTACCGTAGCTGGTTGGATGAGGATCGGAAATCGTGTTCTCATCACGAGCAGCCTTCCTAAGAAGTGGAGCATAGCCACCAAATAATGCCCAAAATTCTCCACTGGCAGCATCAGCCATCAACTTTCCATCCTCTGCATGGAGTAATTGGATTGAAATCATTATTCTAAACACAATTAACCACTTTTCACATCATTCAGATTATCCTTAATCAGTTAGTTTACACTCACCAATGGAAGCTATTTCACATTTCCCATCATGGTAATTATCTCTTATGTATTGGGCAACTTCAAGTGCTTTTGCTCTCTTTAATGGATGTATTGGAACTATTAAATTGAAAGATTTTGGACTTGGTATCCAGTATAAAGATGTTATCATGGTTGAGTGTGGATCGAGCAAAAGGAACCTGCCACGACACACGTCAACAACTTCGATTAAATCACATCCTCAAACGATTATCAGTCCTTAAAAGATCAATGAGATCTAAAGATTTGCCTCTTTTAAATGGACAAGATGTTTCCCTCTACAAATGAGCAAACGTGTCTCGTATTCACTTTCCTTAACGTCTTTGAATCCAGATGCAACTCCACCTTCCCGGGGCATGTTGCACGGTTTGACAAGGGAAAGAAACTTATCAGTTTCATTTCCTTGTATTTCACGATATTGAACCGCATGTCCTCCTAGAGCAGCATCGAGTTCAATAGTTTTGGCTGCAGCAATACCTGCTTCATCCTATGTTAAACGACTTGTGGTCACAAAACTGATCTAAAAATGCCAAGAGTTGTACGAGAAATAAAGATTTGTGGCAACAAAGTTTACCTGGGATGTATCTATACCGAGCCAGTAGTGGATTTCATGACGTAAGGTGATACTTTTCGAAGCAAATGTCTGTGCCAACAAAAAGTAATATTACAGATAATAATGCATCTTGGACCCTAAAGCCATAAGCATAATCAAAGTTATATATATCAGGGCTCACTCTTTAATAAGACCCTCTAACAAACCCTTTTTCTCCATTAACATAGCCTGTTAGCAGTTGCAAACTTGCAATATAAAGAAGAAAAATCCAAGTGCTTCAACATTTACCATCTTATGCCAAATTTCGGAACCAAAAGAAAGGTGTAACATCTATAGATACTCGTCTTCCGGAAATACAATTTCATCCAGGACACTATTCACCAAGGAGGGATCCTGCATGAAATTGTATTTCCTGTGGCTACAATTGCCAAAACCGTAACGAGTATCCCCAACACGTAAAAAACCAATTTGATACTTGCCTTCAAAACAATATAGGAGTCTCCAGTGATAAATTTTCCATTGGATGAAGCTGGAAGAGAAACAGGACTAGACTTTTCGATGCGCCAGATTGCGAGTCCACTGCATAATGTGTAAAGGAGAATAATTCATTCAAAACCAGACATACCCCAACATTAAAAACAAGAGTACTTGTGATTCTTGCTCATGCTCTCTAAATTTGGTCACCCTGCACTCAATGTACAACCAAAAAATTGCTGAAAAGGAACAAAACTTCAAATTCAATGATTTTGATACATGAAATGCTACAAAGTTTGTAAAGGATACGCTTTTTGGCCAGCTCCTTAGAAAGCTGGATCTACATTTCTCATGGAAACCGCCAAACTCATTGGAAAGAAGAAGCAACACAATCCTACACAATGTTCAAGGTAATTGCTATTGAAAAAAGGTGATCAAATTTGTAGTACCAAAATCAAACAAGGAGATGGACAGAATCCATATTACCTTTGTTTATGGGTTTTAAACTGCATTACAGATTCAATTTGTTGTTGATGGTGATGGTGATCTTGTTTTGTAAGAACATGAGTGCTCCTTTTTGTTTTTTTTTAATTAAATATTTTATTTGTTTACAAGTTAATGAAGAGATGAAAAACAATTACTAATTTAGGAAAAAAATTGTAAGGGAATGGCCCGAGAAAGGCGAGTTTCATGTGGAATAAATAGAAGAGGTCCGTCACCAAGGAAATTAAGGTGTGGCTTGATGCTAGGCCCTTGTGTTTCTCCTTGTATATAGTTGTCGAAATAGTCTGAATCGTAGTATTTGTACGGTTTTTATTAAATTTAATTTAATTAAAATTGTAATAAATATATTTGATTTAGTAATATTGTAAGGCATATTTGTTAACCATACTAACTGCATTTACATGAAAACTCCTTAAAATCTTTTGGCATCGGTATCTTCCCTATCATTATGCTGGGAGCCACTAAGTTTGTGGTAGCTTCGCTATGAGTTCTGCATAGCCATCGGCTGAACCGATTGCAAACTCGCATTGCAACACACATTCCGGCACAGAGTACCCTTACGGAAATATTGCAAGGCATATTTGTTAACCATACTAACTGCATTTACATGAAAACTCCTTAAAATCTTAAAATCTTTTGGCATCGGTATCTTCCCTATCATTATGCTGGGAGCCACTTAAAGTTTGTGGCAGCTTCGCTATGAGTTCTGCATAGCCATCGGCTGAACCGATTGCAAACTCGCTCAGTGAACTCATTGCAACACACATTCCGGCACAGAGTACCCTTACGGAAACATCACTCTGTTTCTCCACCGTCATCGCCTCTTCCACTTCATCAATGTTTATCAACTCCATGTTTTCCCCAGATGCAAACCTCTTCGATCCTACTCTAGATTCCTCTCGTAGTTGTTGTGCATAGAGTGACCCCATTCCTGCTGCAAAAAAATCTATACCGTCGAGGACTTTCAGCTCACGAGTAGCATCGAGGAACCTTGACCATTGTATGCAAAGTCCGAATATTGCAAGTGTCCAGCTGGACCGGCGAGGGGAAAACGGCAACTTGGATGTATCGGGGTCTGACCTCAAGCAGCGGAGGAGCCAGCCGCTTAGAGCCTGTAAATAGGACCGCTGAGAAGCAATCCATGTCTCGAAACAGGCTCTCCAATTCCTTAGCTCAGCTTCAAGATTTGCAGCAGCTGAGAGAGAAGATTGCCTTTTTGCTTCCAGCTTCGAAGGTGCTCCTGCTAGTAAAAGCTTAGCTTCATCCAAAGTTCGCTTTTGTGCCTGGTGACACTCTGCCATCACTTTCCACATCCTGGCTAACCTGTAGTTTATAAAATTGAAAATTTAGTTTGCAAATGATAGGAATGCATTTGAGTATGCTTACATTGAAACTGACATACCCTTGAACCAATTCCACAAGTTGTGGTTGCAACTCCTCGTCCCTCAGAGTTTCGATTCTCTTTGAAATAGCTTCAACTGAATGTATTGAAACCTTCATCTGGGTATGCAGATCTCTAATTGCTGCCCTCGTTTTATCTACTGCATTCGGGTCGTCTCCCTTCACATCTTGGTTCCTCAGATGCCTGTTTTTCTTCTCATAAGCAAATCGAGTCTTTTCTCCGGACTGCTTGGAAAGATAAGCAAACAGTTAATCAGTTTCCTCTATTAAGTAGTAGAAACAATCATAATTCTCTCTCTATATATTTTTAAATGATTCATTAAATATATACCTTGACTTCCTCATAAAGTTTCTTTTCCCAGGCATACAATCTATCCAATGTCGATTGGTGGCTACCATGAAACATGCAGGTTTCTTCTGAGAAGGAGCTGCTGCTTTCATAACCTGCCTCTCTGGAGCTTGAAGAATTGATTAAGAATCTTGACGAGGACGAGCGTGATGAAGCAGACCGCAATAAAGCTACCGGATTCAGCATTTTCATGGCTGCAACAATGAACCTTTGAGTTCAATACGCTGAAACAATAAATGACCATAAAAACTACCTACTAAATCAATGGATAGTAAATGTTTGAGGTTCAACCTGTAAGCTCATTTGATGTTGATGAGTACTGAGCTCTACTAGCCTCTAACATTGCTGACACTTCACTCGCTGCATCACAAGCTATTGTGAATTGAGCCTCAAGATCAGTGATGACTTCCGCCATGCTTGTTGGCCTTCGGTTAACGTAAACTGTAAAACCCGGTGTTTCTTCTTTAGCTTCACCACCTCTGAATGCAATCTTTTTGTTACTGACTTCCACTTGTCCGGCAGCTTGTGATCGTACTACTTCTACGCTCACTTTCCCTTGTGACTGTATATCTTTTGCATCATGCTCATCTTCAACTCCGCTATCTATTCCCTCCTCATCCTCATCTTCATCGTCCTCATCGACATCTTCAACGGTAACTTCTTCTCTATTATAGTTTGTATGCATTTTAGCTTTCTCTTCTACCAATTTCACCTTACTCTCATATTCTTCTTGTTCGGTTTCATCTTCTTCTAGATCAGGAATTCCTTCTTCCTCCCTTACCTGCCTTAGTCCTCTGACATCATCTTCCATCACTGCCTGATCGAGACTGCTTCGGTTGGGATAACTGTAATAATCCAACGACGAAAATGGATTCCAAAAGAAGTCCCATTGAGATGTTTGAGGTGAAGGGGGAGGTATATTGGGTCTATTGTTGGGAGAATAAGAGAAAAATGAGGAACTCATAGTAGAGGATTGCATTGTGAAAATACCATCCATGCTATAATGGTTCACTGGAGAGTAAGCTTGGATTCGGACGGTTTCTGGTGATTGAGGCCTCTCCTCAACTGCAACTGCAGGATGACCACCTGATCTCATGTAACTTACTTTCAATGTAGACTTGGGATTAGATTTAATTGTTGCAGTCGAGAAGGATGAGGGCGGAAGCGATTTGAAGTCAGGACTTCCTTTCTTAAGGGGCGTAAAAGGTGGGGTTATAAAAGAATCTAATAAGAACTCACGGCACTCATCTCCTTCGACATAATATCGAATAGCTGCTGAAACTCTTCTCAAGGATTGAATGTAGGCTATATGCCCAGATGCAAATCTAGTTCTTTGCTCTACTGCCTGCTTAATAAAATTCTTCCTATCTTTACAAAGCTGAACTGACTCTTCATCATCAAGTTTCGATTTAGAACATCCCATGATCCACCCTCTTTAATTACCGGTTGCAACTTGAACGAAAGTCGAGATACAATGTGTGTTCTGGAGTAGTTCCAATCAGATTCAGATGGATTCTCCTGACTGTTGAACAGAAACAATTAATCTAGTTCAGAAACTTGAACCAATTTGACGAAGTTCGATAGGTTAACATGACAAAGATTCTTAGCTAAATATACAAGGAAACAACTCGAGAAAGCTATTGTTGTTGTGCTTTCCCTAGATTTCAAGTATGAGAACATCTCAAACTTCTATACCATAACAAAGAAATGGAACATCCTGATAAGATAAACTCTCTCAAATCCCAACACAATAATTGAGAAAATACTGGAAATGGCAAATGCTAGTGTGTGTAAGAAAATTTAATCTAAATATTAATAAAATTGAAAAGGAAAGTGATAATAGCATAGAAGAAAAATGCATAGGATACTGAATGAATGAAGATGAAAGGCACAGCAAAAGAATAAAGGTTTAAAAGAGTAGAAAAGGGAAAGAAAGACTAATCAAATGTTGTGATTCTCAATGACAGCGTAAATTGTTATACTATATGAAAGATGGTGATAGGATAAATGATCACACACAAAAAAAAAGAAAAAAAATCCAAAATCCTAAGATTGAAAAAGTTAAGGGAAAAAATACGAGCATTGGAGGAGAAGATTATCGGCTTAAATACCGCTTAATAGACTAACTTCTAACCCTAATTACTGATATATATATATATATATGTATAGAATAATTGTTTAATTACAAAATAAACTTGCAACACGAACTTTTAAGATCAGATCAAGAGTAATTCAGATCACAAAACTCTAACAGTATTATTGTAAGCGAAAATTTAAATGAGCTGTTCATTAGAAAAGTAATCATCCCTTAAACAAGAAGGAAGAGCAAAAGAAACTAAGAATCTACATTGAAACAAAAGGAACTCATTTAAGAAAGAGAAACGTATTCAGCGCCGACTGCACACAAGAAAAATGCAGCAAGACAAACAATGAAAATCTAAATCCAAAAACAAACAGAAAAGAGTATCACCATTTCATTGCTAAGCGAAGACGAAGAGCACTCTAATTACTAAATAAAATAAAGGAAAACCTCATTGGTATTTACCTGGGAAGAAATGTAGGCGGGAGTTGTTTTGCTTTGCTTGGGCTTTGATCAGAGGGAACAGAGAGAGACGTTGTGAAAAGCAACGGTCAAAAAGCCTAAAGCCAAGTGAAGAAGAAAAATGGAAAAACAAAAATAAAAGTAATTAAAGTGAGATAAAGGAGGGGACAACGAATATGAACCTGCCAAAGCTTTTACCCTTCATGCTTCACTTTATTTCAGTAATGCCACCCCAGCCCTTCTTCGTGACCCAGTACCCCTCATCTCCTCCCATCTTTCCAAGTCATTCTTATAGTTATTTGCATTTATTTATTTATTTTTATAGCATTATATGAATTTTAAAACAATTAGAATTTTCGTATAACTTTTATTATATTTTCTCATTTGAATATTATAATCTTATTATGTTGAGATTTCCTTTTAAATATAATTCTTGTGAAATCATGCTACTTGCATTTTAAGCGGTTAGAAATAGAGGGAAAATTATTTTAATCATATGATGTGTTTTTGGCTTAAAAATTTGTTTCAATTTAAAATTTAATATTTAAAATCTTTAAAGAAGACACTTAACAATATTAAAACTATGATTATGAGAAAAAAAATCATCACCAGTGTATGAAACAAAAACTTTATTTATATATATGAAAAGAGAGGGGGTAGGGTCCGTTTACATGGTTTAGGTTTTTTTTATTTTATAAATTGTATATTATTTTAGGATCGTTACATGAGTGAAATAGGACTGTTGAGATTGATAGTAAAAAAATAATAGGATATTTATAAGAAGAAGAAAAAAAGAATGTGATATAATATTAATTATTTATTTCTATTTATCCAATAATTTTAAAATTTTATAAAACTAAAAAAATATAATAAGTGTAAGTAAATCATAATCCGTATATATATCCCTACTACTAACAAAAAGCCACAACTCAGTGGAAGGACTTTTTTTTACCAAATATCATTCATATAAAAATAATTTCTACTATGATATTCATTTCAAATTATTTTTCAGATTATCATCATTTTTTGTCACTTAGGATAGAGGCGTATTACGTGGAAAGTGTCTTTGAAAGCACATTCTGTAATACGTTTTTTTTTGTTGCCTATGTGACGACAACACAAGCACAAGTTGAACTAAAATGAAAGAGAGATAAAAAAATATGAGTCAAAATATGTTATATATAAGTTAGTATCTACTTATACAATATAAAATTCTTTAGTTTTACAAATATTTTAGACCATTGGATGAGTGAAAATATATTACTAATATTGACTCCTTATTTTTTCCAATGAATATCTTTTTATTATCTACGGTTAATCTCAATCATCTATTTTCATTTATTCAATGATCTTAATTTTTTGTAAAGTTAAAAGAGTTTTACATTGTGTAACAGGATCTTATCTATATATATATATATATATATACAAATTTGTTTAAGAAGAACAAATGTGGACGATGTATGTTGAAGACACATAATTACATGAGTTGAATGAGACGACGATATACATGTATTAACTTTATGTTTAATCTCCCAATAGATATATATTTAAAATTATATATATATATATATATATATATAATTCGACTTAAGAAGTTAATAAAATTTTAAAAACCCACATATACTTTATAGTATTTTCAGCAAAAATTATTTATGTTTACAAGAGGAGATTTGTTAAATTACATATAATAATCTATCAAAAAATTACATATAATAATGATAACTTAATCATGCGTTTTAAATCTCTCAAATCTAAACTATAAGATACTTTTTAACAAAAGATATACGAAATTTAATTTTTGTCATAGCCAAAATCTTAATAAAATTTCAAACTCGTATGGAGGAGTAATGTTATTTCAAGATTATCTTAAAAATTAATTTTTATTTCATCTATATTCCGAAATAAACCTCAAAATCTTATCGACTATTTCTTTTATTATTATTATTAGGGTAAACAATATATTTAATATCTAAACTATTATTTTTGTTTTATTTTTTACTTAAATTTTATTTTTTTAAATCTTGTCTAACATTTAGTTTATGTTTTAATTAGGTACATGTCGTTAAAAAATTAACAAATTTACTGACGTAATATTTTAATTTTTTTAATGAAAATGTGACGTTATTTTATAGTGACACATCAAGAACATCATTAAGTTTTTAATGGTATGGTACTAAAATGAAACATAAACTAAATATTAAATATAATTTTGAAAAAATAAAAGTAATAATTTATGTTATAATTTACTCTTATTAGTATTGGTCTGGGTAAACATTAATCAATGGAGAGAATGATAAATGATTTTAATCATCATGATTATGAACATGTATATTATTATTTATTTTTCAATCCGAAACAAAATCCTATGATTAGCACTTGTCGGATTAGAATTTGAAGACATGTCTCTCTTATAGTCAAAGGTGGTAACCAGTGACAGGGGTATTTTGGCTAATCAAGCGGGAATTTGAGCAAAGCTGTCTAGAATTTTGGAGCTCGGGGAAAAGTGGAAAAGAAAGTCGGCTCTAAAGAGAAAAGGAAAACACCACCGTAGGTCCCGCTGATTACGGAAAGACTCGTGACGGGAATGGAATGGATGCTTCCTCCGTTACGGTTTTCTCAAATATCGCCCACCATTTTTCTAATAATTATCGACATTGCCATTGATTGTTAATCACACTACCTTCTTATATTCACGGATATAATACAATAGAGTCTATCCACGAAAAAAAAGTAATTCCCCAACTATAAATATATAAAAAGGAAGTGTTGTTTTTATTAGAGTTTTTGAAGTCGAATAATTATATTTATATAATGTAGGTATATTTTTAATGATTAATTTTTTAAATATATACCGCATTAATATTAAAATTAAAGAAAAATGTATTAACATATTTTTTATAAACATTAAACTTTTATTGAATTATTAGGTAGCATCAGTAGTAAAAAAGAATGTTGTTCTTCTTAAAGGATTTGAGTTTAGGAGTGAACGTTCGATTAATTCGAGTCGAATAAAAAATATTTTGAGTTATTCAAGTTGACGAGTCCTATTTTATAACTCAAACTTGATTTGAAATTTTTTCGAGTCCAGTCGAGTTTATAAAATTTGAGTTGAGTTTTCAAGTTTCTATTTAAATTTAATTGTAAATATTTATAATATTGTGATACTATTTGATTCCAATTTAAATGGTTTTTTATATCCATATACAATACATATATATTTTTTCATATTTTTTACTTATGAGATATACATATGTCATATATAGTCGAGAGACTCAATTTAAACTTGAAAATCAATCTACTAGTTACTAAAAATTTCGAGTTATTTGATAAATTATTCGAGTTACTCGAGTTGTATTTTATAACTCGACTTGAACTTGAAATTTTTTCGAGCCGTTTATGAAATTACAAGTCAAAGTCAATTTGAGTCGTCTTTTTTTGAGTCAAGTCTAGTAGAAAAAATTGATTTTTCGAGTCGAATTTTATTCGCCCCTATCTAAGTTCGAACAACTGTGTGTACAAGACGTGTATAAGTTGCCAATAGATTAATCAAATTCTGACCAAGTAGATATTACCTTATAATTATCAATAGACTATTTTATTAAAAAAAATGGTTGCCCTCTAAGTTCCTCAAGGCTTTGCCCTGATTAATCAAAACCAATGTCGCACATTTGGTTTTAGTGAGTAAGTCTCATAACAATAATTTACTGCATATATAAGACGCCAAACTTGAGATCAACTTAAATAATATCAAACTGCTTACCACTTAAACTAACCTCATTGGTGACTATTAAAAAAAAAGAAAGGAAATTGCAACATGGACGAGCCGCTGCTCAAGAATAAAATTGGCCAACAAAAACCCAAGCAATCAAAGCCCAGAAGGCTTGAGGAACCTTAAACCTAAACAAACAGTAAACACAAGGTGGGCGGCAGAGGTAAAATAGTAGTATATGAATTAATGGCCAAAAATGTTGTACATCTTACTTAGAAATGTAGATATGCATCATCATAGGGATCTTTCCTTCACATCCAATCAATTGATTTCCTTTTAGAGATATGCACTGATTCTGTAACACAATGAATTGAATTTAGACCACACCAACATAAAGCAAAACTTGTACTTTCATTTTCCCTATGTCAACTATTTTCCTCAAATTTTGTCTATAAATTCTTCACATCTTCTTCCAAAACATTCACAACTCAACTCACTGAAAAAACAGCCATGAAGTCGCTAACCATCCTCTTTGCAATCTCAGCGGCAATGGCGATCTTTGTTGCAACAATTCAGGCCGACTTCGACGAAGAACCCCATGTTCAAACCGACCAAGATCCGTTGCGTCAATTCGTAGCTTGGCAGAACCCCAAACCCAGCATGACGTGCGACAGGTTTCCGCGTATCTGTCGTCAAAAGAAGGGAAGTCCGGGACAGGATTGTTGCAAGAAGAAATGTGTTAATGTGAAGAAAGATCGATTCAACTGTGGTAAATGCGGGTATAAGTGCAAGTACGGTGAAATATGCTGCAGAGGGCAATGCGTGAATGCTTCGTTTGATAAAAGAAACTGCGGTGGGTGCAATAACAGGTGCAAAAGGGGCGAATTCTGTGTTTACGGGATGTGCAATTATGCTTAATTTCTCAACCTTGTATTAATTTGATGTATGCAACTGGACCTGACCCAAGTTAATCTGGTCCATAAATAGTGTTTATGAAATTGAGTAATTAACTCTTAAAATCTATTAATTATAATTATACAGGCTGATGTATTTAAATAATTATTATAATTTTTAATTTTTATTGAATTAGGTATAATTAAAAAATTAATTATATTTTCCAATTATAAAGAGAAAACTGATATACTTACGTGTAATTTACTTCATATAGATATTAATTTTATTTAACACGATTATTTTAGATTTAACCCGATCTAAACGGACATGCTAGTTTTGTTTGTTATTTTTAAGTCGGTTCGTCTCCACGTACAAATGGAAGTTTCCCTAGCTTTTGGGAAACCTGTTTTGTCTGTTTTCTTGCAACATAATTATTGGGCGAATTGTGTCTTAAATTTCGTGACTTACAAATGAATTAGACCAAATTGGGAAAGTTCATAG